GACCAGCAGCAAGGGTAGGTGGATAAGTCACCTTTCCCCTCCCCTGCATCTCAGACTGCTGGTGGGCTCCCCAGTGGGTGGAGAGACCTACGGACACCAGCCCAGAGACAGCCGCCGCCAGCTAGCGGTGAGCCTGTAGCAGACGTGGCACCAGACTCCCAAATCCCTCGGGGCACCTCGGTGTGCACAGACCCGAGCCTCGCAGCAGGCGCCATATTGCCTCCTTCTCCCCTCCGCCGACCCTACCCGCGGCTGCCCAGAGAGACAATACAGCCACTAGCCGGAGGCACCTCCAGGGAACGGGACCTTCCCTTTTGGGACCCTACAGCTGACTAAGGGGAACTCAGACTGTGAGCTCCCTACCCGCAAGCCCTCCCAGGTGCTGCTGGCGCGGTGTTCCCAGGTGAACGGTGCCGACTCAGAGGCTGAGAGACACAGACACAGCCTGGGCTCCCTGTGGGTGAATTGGGACCAGAACTCCTCTCCCTGGTGGGGATAGTTTGAACTCTAGGACCCAGAGGTCGGACCTGCAGACCAGATCCCGTGCACCGAGGTATAGCATTGCCTGGGGCACAGAAGGGATATACGTGAACAGCCTACTGAGGTGTGTGTGCCTTCAGGGGCAGATCAGCATCCTAGAGGGCAACCCTCCTACCAAAAAGAGGCCATGCGGGCCCAGCCCCCGAGGCCGGGGGGGGGCGCCCGGTGGGGCGGCGGGGCCGCGGGGGGGCCGACTCCGCTGCGCGTTCCTGGCGCAGGGACCTCCCCGCGGCCACAGAATCCGGAAAGACTTGGCGTGTGTCTGGCCTGCTTGGCAGATGCCAGGAGTAGGCTAGCGGCATGTCTGGGAGGGTCGGAAAAGCGAGTCCTCCAACTGCGGTCTCAGACAACCCCACGCCCCCACAGCGAACTTTCTGGCTGGAGCGGACCATTCCAGGCGCCCACCCTGACAGCTCCTTTCCTGGAAAGCATCGAGAACAGAACTTTGACGCCTGTAAGGCATTTGGTGTGTGCCCCAGGGAGAACGCTTAACCCAACCCAGCTCCACCCAGAACAAGAGCTGCATAACAGGACACAAATCAACCAGCAGTAGGCCTCGCTTCCCTCCAAGCAGCGGCCACTACTGGAACAGCGACGGGCATCCTGCCACAGCCTTACACGGGCACCCGCCTGAACTCTATCTGATACAGGGTAGTGGGCGATTCACCCTAAGATCACCAGGCCCTAACGGCTCAGAACACTAAAACAGGGCAATGTGAATACCCAAACAAAGACCTAAAGGAAAGAACAACCAACTGGATCGACATGGGAAGAAATCACGCAAAGGAACTCAGGAAAGATGAAGAACCAAACAGAAAACTACCACCCCCAAAGAGGTGCACCAGCTCCCCTAGAAACGGAACGCAACCCAAATCAGGCAACCAAATGAAGAAGAGGATTCTCGTATGTGGGTCGAGTAAGAGACACTCACCGAACTGCAACATCAACTCCAATAACCAACACAAAGAAACCACAAAAAAGCCTGTCCAGGACCTAGAACAACAATTCAAAAGAAATACGGCACAATGATAGACAAAGTTTAAACCGGAACTCCTGGAATGAAGATCAATTCAGGAACTACAAAGACAGTGGAAAGTAGTCGAAAGAAACAGGTTAGATCAAACAGAAGAAGAATCTCAGAGCTTGAAGATAACACCCTCCGAACAAATAAAACCGTCACAGAGATAGCGCAGAGAAACAGAGAGAAAAGAGCAAGCCTACAAGAGGGATGTGGGATACTGTGAAGAACCTAATGTCGCGGAGGGTTCATAGGGTTTACCAGACAGGGGAAGGAAGACAACATCCAAGAGCTGGACAAGCTAGTTGTGAAGTGATAATAGACGAAAATTTTCCCAGGCCTTGCTTCAAAATGCGTTGATATGACAAGTCAAAGAGAAGCTCAGAGGGGACCCGCTGGGAATTCAATTGCAAACGAGGGAGAGCGTCACGAGATGCCAGTCATCAGACTGACCGAACAGTATCAGGACTAAAGAGGCTGTCTCCCCAAGAGCTGTAAGACAAAAAGAACAAGTAACATACAAGGAAAGCCAATTCAATAAACACCAGACTTCTCTAATGAGACCTTTACAAGCAAGAGAGAGACTGGGCCATTCTCACTCTTCTGAAACACAAACACATGCCAGCCTTAGTAATCGTTATTCCCTGCCCCAAAACTAAGCTGTCTATATGATGGCGACAATAGAAAGCGATTCTCAGACAGAAGCAAAGTCTAGAAGAATTCACCGACAGATAGAGGACCAGGCGCCTAACAAGATAGTACTCAAACAGTGCACGGCACGGGAACACATAAAAAACTCGAATATAAAAAACAACCAAAAAGCTCAAGATTAGATAGGCAATAGCTACGATGCTCAAGACAGGAAATCAATGAGGAACGCAACATTCCCAGCCCAACAGGACGCCAGAGAAGTAATTACCTGTATCTATCAGCTTCAAGTGAATGTGAATGGGCTGAAGCTCTGGTCCACTCAACGCAGACACAGGCTTGGTGAATGGATAAGAGATACAGGCCAGAGTATATGCAGTCTCCAGTAGGACAAATGCTAACCTGGCGAAGGATGCGTAAGACTAGATAAAAGAGTGGAGATAATATTCCAAGCAAATAGAAGCAAAGACAGCTGCGGTGTGGCCAGTTCTAATTTAGTTTAGTTGTTTTGGAACCAACAAAAGTAGGTGAGACACGAATTGCAGGTCTCGGCCGCCTAGTATAATGGTGAAGGACACTTCGAACAAGGAAGGCAGGATACAATTTAAAGTTAATGACCCAACTGTGAGGTGCACCCATTCCATAGCAAACCTTACTGGAGTCTAAGCCAAAAAGATTAATTAGCACTCCATAATCACCGCAATTTCTTTCACACCCACTGACGGCACAAGACAGATCCTCCGACAGAAAATATAACGGAAGAAAGTTAGACTGAACACAAAAACCTTGGAACAACTGGTCTGACTGACCATCGTACAGAATTCACCAAAATCCACTGAATATACGTTTGCTCTCATCAGCTCACGGGCATTCTCTAAGATGTAACCATATCCTAAGAGATTTACACAAAGAAATCTCAAGAAATGTTAAAACACAATGAGAAGAGCGATACCATGTACCTCTCTCAGATCTCAGTGGAATAGAAAGTAGAAATCACACCCTAACAGAAATCTCACATGTTCTACACAAAGCGTGGAAATTAAACACACCTCCTACCTAAATGATACGTGTCATAAGTGAAGAAATCAAGAGTGGATAAAAAATTCATACTCGCTACACTGCTGTCGTGGACTGCGAAATTGTTCAAGCCTCTGTGGGAAGAGCAATATGGAGATACCTTAGCAATACAAGTGAATCTACCATTTGTGATCTAGGCAATCCCATTTCTGGCATCTACCCAAAAGACAAGACATCTCTACAAAACAACACTGCACCTCGAATGTCTTATAGGCAGCACAATTCGATAATTGGAAGGCTGTGGAAACAGCCGCAAGTGGCCCAATCAATCCAAGAATGGAGTTAATAAAACATGTGGTATATCCGATTACCATGGAGTGACGTATTCCGCTCTAAGAAGACAAGGACATCACATCTTATATTACCTGGTTAGAGAGCTGGAACTCCATACTATTCAGAGTGAAGTTTCCCAAAGAATGGAAAACAAAGCACCACATTATACTCACCAGCAAAATGTATTACCTGAACAGCACCTAAGTGGTCACATGAGGTACTGCGAGTAAATAGGGTATGGACAAGGGGCGAGGGGGTGGTACTATATACATATTATAATGAGTGAGATTGTGCACATGTGGGGATGGTCATGCTGGAGACTCAGACTTGTGGGGGGAGGGGGGGAAATGGGCATTTATTGAAACCTTAAAATCTGTACCCCCATAATATGCTGAAATAAAAAAATATATATATATTTGAAAAAAAAAGAGAGACAGTCACATTAAAAAAAGTAACCATAAAAATTAGGAAAGACAAATTTAAAAATAGATATTTGCTGGTTTTCTATAAAGAAACACAGTTCCTCCCTCTGATTTCCTTCCTTAGAGACTCTATTTCTGAAAACAGCCCCACTGGGGAATTATATTAACCAAAAATCTATGTAATATTCAAGAAAGCAAAATTCAAGATGAACAAAATGGGTACTTTGAATGAAAATACTGACACTAAGAAAGTCAACTTTTCTTTCTGGCCAATTATTTAAAAAAGGAACTTCCTAGAAGGAAGAAAGACCTTGATACATTTCTTTCTCTACTATAACCTCTATCCATTCAAACACACAACATATACCAAGAGGCAGTTGTCTTTCTTCATATCTACACTTTTTAAAAAAATTTTAAGGCTGGTCAAGTGAAGCAGTGGAGGTGGAGAAGGACAAAGGAATCGTTAACTAGTTGTGATCAAGTAGCTGTAAATATCACCACATCAGACCACCAACTTCTTCATGTCTATACCGAAAACCAAACCTCCCTTGGTGCCCTACAATCTCATTCCATTCTTCCTTTACCTTTCTGCTTCTGTGGTGATTCCTTTTTTCACTCCCTTTCCCTTATAGCTGCATTATGTGGTCATTCCTGCCATCTAGTGGAAGCACACGATAACAGGAAGGCAGGGATTATCATAAAAACCATTTAGGGCTGGACACTGTGGCTCACACTTATCGTAGCACTTTGGGAGGCCAAAGCAGGAGGATCACTTGAGGCCAGGAATTCAAAACCACTCTGAGGAACAAGCGAGACCCTGTCTCTATAAAAAAATAAGAAAAAATTAGCCAGGCATGACTGCATGCTTGCAGTCCCAGCTACTCAAGAGGCTGAGGCAGGAGGATTGCTTGAGCCCAGGAGTTTAAGGCTGCAATGAGCTATGACCATGCCACTGGACACCACACTGGGCAGAGCAAGACACTGTTTCTTTAAAAAACAAACAACAACAAAAAAAAACTTACCAATAAGAAGACTTTTTAGTCTTCTATAGTCTTCTGTTACATCAAAATCATCACCAGCAAATATTAACATGGGTTTCGTTCCCTCTGGACATTTACTGTTCTATGAAAATAAAAGAAAATGTAATTATACAGTTATCAAATTCTAACCTGTATGCTGATCTTAATTTTTTTTTTATTTTTTAATTTTTTTAAGACAGAGTCTCACTGTGTTGCCCAGGCTAGAGTGTCATGGTGTCGGATTAGCTCACAGCAACCTCAAACTCCTGGGCTCAAGCGATCCTCCTGCCTCAGCCTCCCAAGTAGCTGAGACTACAGGCATGCACCACCATGCCCGGTTAATTTTTTCTATATATATATCTTTAGTTGTTCAGCTAATTTCTTTCTATTTTTAGTAGAGACGGGGTCTCACTCTTGCTCAGGCTGGTCTCGAACTCCTGAGCTGAAACAATCTGCCCACCTCGGCCTCCCAGAGTGCTAGGATTACAGGTGTGAGCCACTGTGCCTGGCCTGATTTTAAAGCTTGAAGCAGTCAATACTTATATACAGTAATTTGTTTTCACATTTTATCAACTGTCCTAAAACTATGTCTGCAAATAGTGACTTTAGACTTAAAAACAGAGGCAGGATATTTTTTTTTAGAGGCAGGATTTTTAAGCTTACAGATTTTTATACTAAAAATAATACTTTGTTCTAACAATTATGCTACCCAATAATATGTGATCAAAAAATGATGTAAGGTACTTTTTTTTGAGACAGAGTCTCGCTCTGTTGCCCGGGCTAGAGCGCCGTGGCATCAGCCTAGCTCACAATAACCTCAAACTCCCGGGCTCAAGCGATTCTCCTGCCTCAGCCTCCTGGGTAGCTGGGACTACAGGCATGCCCCAGGACGCCCAGCTAATTTTTTCTATTTTTAGTAGAGACAGGGTCTCACTCTTGCCCAGGCTGGTCTCCAATTCCTGAGCTCAAGTGATCCTCCCACCTCAGCCTCCCAGAGTGCTAGGATAATAGGTGTGAGCCATCGCACCCCCAGCCGATATAAGGTACTTTTAACATTAATCTATGAAAACAATAAAATCAAAAGCTGGCCGGGCGCTGTGGCTCACGCCTGTAATCCTAGCTCTTGGGAGGCCGCAGGCGGGCGGATTGCTCAAGGTCAGGAGTTCAAAACCAGCCTGAGCAAGAGCGAGACCCCGTCTCTACTATAAATAGAAAGAAATTAATTGGCCAACTGATATATATATGTAAAAAAAAAAAAATTAGCCGGGCATGTGGCGCATGCCTGTAGTCCCAGCTACCGGGAGCTGAGGCAGAAGATCACTCGAGCCCAGGAGTTGAGGTTGCTGTGAGCTAGGCTGACGCCACGGCACTCACTCCTAGCCTGGGCAACAAAAGCGAGACTCTGTCTCAAAAAAAAAAAAAAAAAAAAAATCAAAAGCTATACTTTAAAAGAAGGTATGGGCCAATCATCACTCAGTGGGGTTCAAACTCTTACTATAAAAAGTGTTTGCCCAGGCCGGGCACGGGTGGCTCACGCCTGTAATCCTAGCTCTCTGGGAGGCGAGGCGGGCGGATTGCTCAAGGTCAGGAGTTCAAAACCAGCCTGAGCAAGAGCGAGACCCGTCTCTACTATAAATAGAAAGAGAATTAATTGGCCAACTGATTATATATAAAAAAATTAGCCGGGCATGGTGCGCATGCTGTAGTCCAGCTACTCGGGAGCTGAGGCAGAAGGATCGCTCGAGCCCAGGAGTTTGAGGTGCTGTGAGCTAGGCTGACCCACGGCACTCACTCTAGCCTGGCAACAAAGTGAGACTCTGTCTCAAAAAAAAACAAAAAAAAAAAAAAAGTGTTTGCCCAGTTTTGGATTTTCCATCCCAATCAGAATGTGAGGTGAATAGTGAGAGGATTTAGAAGTCACCAAAGAAGAAAAAGATTAAACAGAAAAAATTATTTAACTGAGAGATTAGTTTATGGAGGAAGGTGAATAATTGTTGGTCTGAGCCTCCCACTGATTCTAGAACTTCTACTATGACAGATAATCAGGGATTATCCAAATCCAGCAAAAAACAAAACAAAAAGGACAAAAGCCAAACAAAAGCCTTCTTGTCCTAGGTCCAGAGGTCACCTGTTGCTTCCCTGCTCAAAATGACCACTCTTGTTGACATTCTCTGCTTCCAAACCCTGAACTTTAACTGTCTATACTTAGGAAATAGAAACGTGCCTGGATCTGTCTGCCTGATCATGAGTTGAATGGACCTTCCTGACCCCAAAATTATTCCATGCTCCAGCTGTGCCTACCTGACCCTAGGTCTAGAGGGGTATTTAGGTGTACAGAAGGTAACAGAAGGTATAGCAACATCAACTATAACTTTGGCTTTCAAACCATCCTGACCACAATACACAGTAATAAAAAATACATATTCAGTAATGATCCAGTACAACTATCATAAAAATCTAAAGTTATGTGAAACAAAACTTACCACATAGAGCACTGGTATTTTTGACACTATTCCATTTTCTAAAAACACTTGAAAACCCAAACTACAACGGGTGAACTACATTTGAATAGTCTGAAAGGTCCTAAAAATTCAAAATACTATAATTATGCCAAATCCCTGAACTATCCTTTATTTTTTTAACAAAGAAAGGAAATAATTCTTATATATTATACAATAAACTAAGAACTTTTATTTTATTTTTTTTTTTTTGAGACAGAGTCTCGCTTTGTTGCCCAGGCTAGAGTGAGTGCCGTGGCATCAGCCTAGCTCACAGCAACCTCAAACTCCTGGGCTCAAGCAATCCTGCTGCCTCAGCCTCTCGAGTAGCTGGGACTACAGGCATGCGCCACCGTGCCTGGCTAATTTTTTCTATATATATTAGTTGGCCAATTAATTTCTTTCTATTTATAGTAGAGACGGGGTCTTGCTCTTGCTCAGGGTGGTTTCGAACTCCTGACCTTGAGCAATCCGCCCGCCTCGGCCTCCCAGAGTGCTAGGATTACAGGCGTGAGCCACCACGCCCGGCTCTAAGAACTTTTAAAATAAAATATTCCAGACAGTTTCAGTGTATTTACCTTATCTAAAATAAAACCTACTTGACATAAAATTTAATCATCTTGTTCACCAAGGCTTATTTCTTTTTTTCTTTTTCTTTTTTTTCTTTTATCTTTCTTGCTGTGAGTTTGTCAAAATACTAAGGCTTATTTCATGCAAAATAATCATCCCTTGATGTTTGGCCATCTGAGAAAACAGGTTCTTAGAATACTCACTCAATTTCCTGGTAGAATCTAATCACCTGCTAAATATTCATTTTGAGCTTGCTGAAGAGTTAAGAGGGAAAAGGCTTGGCAACAAAAGCAGGTAAGTTGAGAAAAGAAATAGTTGGTGAAAATGCCTTATAAATGAGGACAGTACAATTCAGGTGATGGGCACACTTATAGCCGTGACTCAAGCATTACAAAAATGATCTACACAACAAAAATATTTGTACCCACTTAATATTTTGAAACAAAACCCAAGGAGGTAGGAGTGAAAATAAATGTGAAGGGGAAGTGTACCAAAACATATAACTCCAAAACAAGGCTGAGGCTGGAGGATCACTTAAAGCCAGGAGTTTGAGGCCAACTGAACAACACAGAAAGATCCTGTCACTACAAAAAAAGTAGAAAAATTAGCCAGGTGTGGTGGCACGCACCTCTAGTCCAAATAATGGAGTAAAAAGTGAAAGACTGTCTAGTAAAAATAATATTCTTATTAATGAAATTTATAGTTATATACATACACCATGAGTGAAAATTTGGTGTTCAGTTTAAATGGTTCTTGTTAAGAATGAGACCCAACAAACAAGAATGGTTTTGTGGTCTGGTTTTGAAGCTGCACAGTGAATGAAGTATTTCACTGTTTTGGAAGTAAAATGGAACGAGCAGAGGGGCTGGCATCAGCCAGCGCTCTCGCCCACGGAGCTGGGGACAGAGCTAGCAGTAGTGGTGAAGGTGAAATGCAGATATACTGCTCGTCTCCAGGCACTCGTGCAGCCCCAAAGAGAAACTGTCATAATATGATGGCTTCCACTGTAATCAAGCATCACAACTTACACGCTTTACAGAACACCTTCCAATACTACCTTCACTGATTAGCATTTTCACTCATACAATGTTTCCCCAAAAATAAGACAGGGTCTTTTATTTATTTCCTCAAGAAGACACCCTAGGGCTTATTTTCAGGGGATATGTTATTTTTTTTTTAAGTACGCTACAACAATCTACATTTATTCAAATCGTCTTCTTCTGGAATATCATCATACCTCTCCAAACCCCGATTATCCATCCCGAATTTCTTGCGACTCTATTTCCTTTAGAACCATTGGCCCCAATCTCTCGTGTCAAGCAACAGAGCTCTCGTGGGGCAGATGAGAAGGGCTGCTCATCTTCTTTACCGCTCCGGGACAAAATGCATGGGTTGTGCAGATATACTGCGTAGCCACACCCATCACTAGGTCTCATTTTTGGGGTAGGGCTTATATTGCACAAATGCTTAGAAATCCTGCTAGAGCTTATTTTATGAGTAGGTCTTATTTTCAGGGAAACATGGTATTACCTCATTTGGTGTTATTTTTTGTTTTTTGTGGGTTTTTTTTTGAGACAGAGTCTCGCTTTGTTGCCCAGGCTAGATAGAGTGAGTGCCGTGGCATCAGCCTAGCTCACAGGAACCTCAAACTCCTGGGCTCAAGCTATCCTACTGCCTCAGCCTCCCGAGTAGCTGGGACTACAGGCATGCGCCACCATGCCTGGCTAATTTTTTCTATATATATTATAGAAATATCCAATTAATTTCTTTCTATTTTTAGTAGAGACGGGCTCTCGCTCTTGCTCAGGCTGGTTTCAAACTCCTGACCTTAAGCAATCCGCCCGCCTCGGCCTCCCAGAGTGCTGGGATTACAGGCGTGAGCCACCTTGCCCGGCCTCATTTGGTGTTGTTACATCTGTTTTATACATGATGGCAACTGAGAATCAAGGAAGTCGGTGACTTGTCAGGTCACCAATGGCCAAGACAGGCCTCAAACTCAAGTGTTCTGTCTCTAGCTACAATTCTTTCAACTATACCTTGAGCCTCCAAAAGCCATAAGCAGGGACAGTTACATAATTATGCAAATAATAACCTTTTTCTCAAAGCCTTTGAGTCCTAATCTTGGTTATATTAATATTTACCATATGTGCGACTCTAGGTTACCATTGAAACCCCTGTGGGCCTCAATCTCTAAATCTATACAACAGGGAAAATTATTTTGGTCTTATATAAGGTTGCTATAAGGTCTGGGTGAAATAATAATATATGACATGATGAAGCCAGAAGCAGAGTTCTAAGGGAACAAGAGCCCAGTTAGTACCCAGGAGCTGAGTTAGGACACACTTTCTGCCTAATTATTTTTAGGCCAGGCAAAGTGAGTGGCTTACACCTATAATCCTACCACTTGGGAAGGCTGAGGCAGGAGGATCACTTAAAGCCTGGAGGTTGAGGCCAACCTGAATAACATAGAAAGATTCTGTCACTACAAAAAAATAGAAAAATTAGCAGGGTGTGGTGGCACACATGTGTAGTCCCAGTTACTCAGGAGACTGAGGCAGGAGGATGACTGGAGCCCAGGAGTTTGAGGTTGCAGTGAGCTATGATGACACTACTCTAGCCCAGGCAACAGAGCAAGGCTCTGTCTCAAACAAACAAACCCTGTTTTTACTACTATTTAGTACTTTCTATTTCACTATCTCATTTAAACAAAGGTGACCAAAGATGTACAAAGTCCCCAAAAGGATATGGAGCTGCAGTTTAGTGGTTACTAGCCAAAACACTGTAGGATCAGCCAGAGCTTCCCAGGTTTAAAACAGGACTCAATTTGAAAATTCTACTGGGGCTCACTTGCTTGTGGTCCTGTGAGATGCCCCTGGTGATGGGTTGGGGAAATCCAATTATTAAAATTGACTCCAGAAGAGAGAACCTAACAGACCAATAACAATAGAAGAAATTGGGAAAGTTATTAAAAAGCTATCATACAGCAAAACACCAGGCCCAGGCCGGGCGCGGTGGCTCACGCCTGTAATCCTAGCACTCTGGGAGGCCGAGGCAGGCGGATTGCTCAAGGTCAGGAGTTCAAAACCAGCCTGAGCAAGAGCGAGACCCTGTCTCTACTATAAATAGAAAGAAATTAATTGGCCAACTAATATATATAGAAAAAATTAGCCAGGCATGGTGGTGCATGCCTGTAGTCCCAGGTACTTGGGAGGCTGAGCCCAGGATTGCTTGAGCCCAGGAGTTTGAGGTTGCTGTGAGCTAGGCTGACGCCATGGCACTCACTCTAGCCTGGGCAACAAAGCGAGACTCTATATAAAAACAAAAAAACAAAAAAAACAAAAAAAAAAACCACCAGGCCCAGATGCTGTTACAGGTTACAAAAAAATTCTGGAGAAGAAAGATCTTAAGCAACATGTTGGATTCAGAAGCTCATGAAAAGATGCCACCAATCCTAACATCTTCAAAACAAGATGTATCACCTCACATTACAAATGTTAGTGAAATGAAGCACTACTTGTGTGGCTGCTGTACAGCTTTCAATAATGTAGCAATTGCATTTCCTATTCAGAGGGTCCTTGTTTGGTAACAGCTATATGGCATCATAACCTGGGATGTAGAAATTCATTTGAGGAGGGATGGATTTTCAAACTTGTATCCTGGAATCCTTCCCGTTAACGCAGGAAACAACTACACTGGCACTTACGTTTGGTCTATATGAGGGTTTATCCTACCTTCCCTGCAAGCACGTCAGTGCTCCAGAGTTTGCAACCCACAGCATGGCAACAGTGTTGGCAGGGATAACAGAAGCAATTTTCACTCCATTGGAAAAGAGGTCAGACATCGCTTCAAGACCACAAGCATAATGACAAATTTATAAACACTCATTAGGCTTTCGAGGCACTGACATGCCATGGAATTGAAGAGTATTATTGAGGTTTGGTGTCCATTCTTTTCTGCAATGGACACAGCAATGTCTTTTTTTCTTGGCCTTTGAGGTACCATTAAGGAGCATCTGCCTACTGCAACAACTCCCAGTGCTCATTTGGTCAATGATTTTATCTGTGGAGGTCTTTTGGGTGCCATGCCAGGATTCTTGTTTTTTCCAATTAATGTTGTAAAAACTCACACACAGTCTCAAGACTAGTGGGGAATTTCAGTCTTTCCCCAAGGTTTTCAAAAACATCTGGCTAGAATGGAACAGGAAACTGACAAATCTTTTCACAGGTGCCCATCTGAATTATTAATACCTTTGGTCCCTCACCTCTTGGGGCATAATCAATTCGACTTAGGGGTTTTATTAAAGGTTATATGGAAAAATCTCCAGTTAAGTGCCAATTTATCAACTGAATACCTAAGGAGAATGCAATTTGGCCTCTTTCCTAATTGGCCAACTACAAGTTGATGTGGTAAGTCCAGGCCACAGTGAGTTATAGTAAAAGCTGTTTTCCTTAAGCATCAACAAAAACAGAATAAAAGGTTTCAAAAAAACAGAAGAAAAAAGAAAGAAAGAAAGAAAGAAAGAAAATTCTATTGATAGTTCTGAGGTGTGCTAATTCAGAAACAGAGGATAGCATTTAAACTATGGACCTAGATAAGAATTAGCAACTACAGTCTAAAGTCTAACTGCAACAAGATCTGCATGTTCTTATACACTGTAAATATATTTCTGTTTTTAAAATAAAGGTAAATAAAATAAAATTGTATTTTCATCTGAGAGCATGTCAAAATAAAAGTAAAGTTCTTTATCTACAAAATTGTACAAGTACTCTTCACCACAAGATGTCACTATTGGCTAAGAGCAGCATTATAAAATGCTTTTGTTTTATTATCAGCACCTTACCTTAATGTCTTTTAGAGAGACAAAGTTTTCAATACCTAATTCAATCATATCCAGCACTTGATAGTCATACATACGACCTAGAAGGAAAATGCATTTTTAAGCATGTATTTTTCCCATACCCCCACACCTCACGTGTACCCACTTATCTGTATACCCAAAATGTTCTAGTATCTGTCTCTTTCCTTCCTCCCTATACACCCGAAACTGTGCCCCTCTCTTTCTTAAATTTTTAACTCTACCTTAAAGAGATTCTTAGGATACCAGTCATGGAAAGAATCTTAGAGATTATTTAGCCCAACTCCTTTAAAAGAAGAATAAATGAAGGCCCACAGACGGTAAAGGGCATGCCTAAGCCAGTGAGCTTGTCAAACCAAATCTCAATAACCCAGGCAAGGGTTCTTTTTCAAATGTATTTACTTAACAGATGTTAATTAGGGAACGGTTAATGTATGTGGATAAGCATGCTACTTTGGTTTTTTCTAACTCTAATACTGAATAAATACACACATATATATTTATATATACTTTTTATTTTTTGGAGACAGAGTCTTGCTCTGTCACCCAGGCTGGAGTGCAGTGGTGCAATCACAGCTCACCATACCCTTGAATTCCTGAAATCAAGTGACCCTCCTGCCTCAACCTCCTGAGTAGCTGGAACTACAGGCACATGCCATCTGGCTAATTTTTTTGTAGAGACAGGGTCTCACTTTGTCACCCAGGCTGGTTTTAAACTCTTGGCTTTGAGCGATTCTCCCACGTTGGCCTACCAAGGTGCAGGGACGACAGATGTGAGCCACAATACCTGGCTATATTTCATATTAGAAAAAATATCTACAACTTGAGGTAGGGTAAGTTTTTTTCCAATTCCAGTGGATCCATGATTATGTGGGTGCTCAGTGACACTCAATGCAAGCACAAGGTAACCGTGTTACATCTACAACTGAGGAAGGAGGAATGCTGAGAGCCCCAAGAGGCCACACTTCTTTAAACCAGAATTTGTTTCCAACAGAGACAAAAGGCAATGGTGTTCTAAGAAACATGAATAACCAAGGAACTTTTTTTTTTTTTTTGAGACAGAATCTCACTCTATTGCCTCGGCTAGAGTGCCATGGTGTCAGCCTAGCTCACAGCAACCTCAAATTCCTGGGCTCAAGCAATCCTTCTGCCTCAGCCTCCTGAGTAGCTGGGACTACAGGCATGCACCACCATACCCAGCTAATTTTTTCTATATATATTTTTAGTTGGCCAATTAATTTCTTTCTATTTATAGTAGAGACGGGGTCTCGCTCTTACTCAGACTGGTTTTGAACTCTTGACCTTGAGTGATCCTCCTGCCTTGGCCTCCCAGAGTGCTAGGATTACAGGCGTGAGACACCACACCTGGCCCCAGGGAACTCTTTCATAGTCCTTCTTACTTGTGTTAGTTCCCTGTATTGGTAGGGTAACACTCATATGGTCCATTCCTTACTTTGAGACAGATAAAAAATAATTTTATTCAATGTCACAAGGCTCAAAATAAAAACCAGGCCGGGCGCGGTGGCTCACGCCTGTAATCCTAGCACTTTGGGAGACCGAGGCGGGCGGATTGCTCAAGGTCAGGAGTTCAAAACCAGCCTGAGCGAGACCCCGTCTCTACCAAAAATAGAAATAAATTAATTGACCAACTAAAAATATATATACAAAAAATTAGCCGGGCATGGTGGCGCATGCCTGTAGTCCCAGCTACTCGGGAGGCTGAGGCAGTAGGATCGCTGAGCCCCGGAGATTGAGGTTGCTGTGAGCCAGGCTGACGCCACGGCACTCACTCTAGCCTGGGCAACAAAGTGAGACTCTGTCTCAAAAAAAAAAAATAAAAAATAAAAAATAAAAACCAAAAACCCACACCAAACTAGTTTAAAGCTACTGAATTGAGGATTCAGTTTACTTCTGATTCTTCAATACCATTAGTTAATCTGAGTCACAGAGCTGGCTCTATAAACATTAAAAAGTAAATTATACTTACCTATTACTAGATTATTTGGCCGCTTCTTATTATGGGAACCAAACAGGAACAAGGAACAATCTGACTTTTTTGAAAAGAATTCCTATAAAACCAAAGACATTTCATTTACTCAATGCATAAATGTAAAAACCTTAAGAATCCTAGTTCTGAACTTAAAAATAAAAAATGTATCAGTTTTTCCAGTGGAAGTTAATAAAGACATAATGAACTAGATAGGAAATACTGAAGAAAACTACTTTATTTCTAGCTTTTTACTTCAGATTTTCTGATTTGGGGTACCTAGGGAAAAGATTTATATTTCAAGACAAAAAAGACATGAAAACTGTTAAATTAATAAGTAAAATAAGATCATTTCTTTTTAGTTACTCAGTCATTTTGGAATAGCACACCAAGTGTTTCAATCACTGAACAAACCCCTTTATTCACAGGACATTACTATCACTGATGCCACAAATGAATACAGAGGGGACCTACATGAATTTATCAATATGGTGTTTTTGGATATTTATAATTGGATTCATGAGTTTACTTTTCATTGTAAATGGCATCCATGCAGGAATCTTGCCCTGGAATCTACATGCCATCCAGCTACTATGACTAGTTCCACGCTGTGTACCTGGAGAGACTGTACCTGGAGAGGCTCACAGATCAATTAATATTCCTACCTGCAAGAGATATCTTCTCCATTTGGCTCTCAGAAGTACTGACTTCCATTACAGATTTAAGAGGAGTGGAAATACAGGTATGGGGTTCCAACTCCAGACAGCTCCTTTTACACTATATGTCTATACACACTATGTCTGTACTTTCTACATCCCACATACTTTGAGTCAGTTTACTGAGATCATCAGTGTTAGCATGAAAATTAAATTCAACATGTTCTAGTCCAAAAGTCAGTTGGAAAGCCTCCTAAATTAATAACAACAAAATTAAAGAACAGATGAAATAGTCATAATCCTCAACTTTTCTTTACTGGCTACAAGATTCTCTGAGGTGTGAGCCCCTAGTTTGGTTATCATTCGTTCTATCATGGAAGCAGAAGCAAATGGGGCAAACAACTACCCATGCCCACCCACTCCCAGTATGGATGACGCAGAGTCAGAAAGTCTAAGAATTCAGGCTTTGCCACTTAGTATGGACAAATTAAACTTTCTTCTTTTTGCTTTTTAGTCATTTGACAAAGCAGGAAAATTAAACTTTCTTGAGAATTAATTTTACTACTTCCTGCAAAAGCCTGCAAGGGCTCTATGGATGTCTTATGTGAATGTAGCTTATACGGGGTCTGACATATCACAGGTGTTCTAGAGAAGTTTTAATGTCTAAATCAATGGAAATGCTTTCTTAAAATTTTTTTAACATTCTCATGTTATGACTAATACCCTAAAGCTTTCCATAAAATACACCTCATACATATTATAGCGTTTTATACACACACACACACACACACACACACAACTTGTCTGTTGTTCTTCTCTACAGTCTGCTTCTTATTTGTTAAAATTTTAGAGCAGGGGTAGCCAAATTATCTGCAAAAAGCCAAATAAATATTTTAGGCTTTTCATATGCTTTTCTTTTTTTTAACCAACTCTTTAATAATGTAAAAATAATTCTTGGCTCACAAGCTTCACCCAAACAGGGATTTGGTCTACAGGCAGTGTATTTTTGCCAACCCCTATTCTAAAGCACCCAAGAACATTTCCAAGATTGTGGTGAAAGAAATGTGTGATGTGGGAGGATCGAGAGGAGGAAACTGACCACATTTCCAACACAATCACAAATTCCATAGCCATTTTGAGCTCTGAAGGTCTGAGATCTATTTTTCTTTTTCCTCACTACTATACTAATGAGAGGTCTGAGATTTATTATAGCCAATGAAATATATTCTATCTCTGAAGGTGGGAGATCAAAGAGAGAAAATGTCACAACTTCAAGTGTAAGAAAAGTTATCATATTAACAGTGGGTTGAAAAAGTACAAGTGCTACAGATTTTCACCATGTAACACTGCTATATAGTGGTTTTCCAACTAAAAGCATTATCATGTTACAAAACAAAACCAGCCCTCGATTAAGTGATGTATAAAAGAGAAAGAATTCTGAGATAAGCCCTTTTAATTTTACTTTCACGATCACTTTAACAAATGACTGAAAAACATAAGACTAAAATAAGAGTAATTTGTAAAAAACTGAGTAGGCCGGGCGCTGTGGCTCACGCCTGTAATCCTAGCTCTTGGGAGGCCGAGGCGGGCGGATTGCTCAAGGTCAGGAGTTCAAAACCAGCCTGAGCGAGACCCTGTCTCTACTATAAAAATAAAAGGAATTAATTGGCCAACTAATATATATATAAAATTAGCCGGGCATGGTGGCGCATGCCTGTAGTCCCAGCTACTCGGGAGGCTGAGGCAGGAGGATTGCTTGAGCCCAGGAGTTTGAGGTTGCTGTGAGCTAGGCTGACGCTATGGCACTCACTCTAGCCTGGGCAACAAAGCGAGACTCTGTCTCAAAAAAAAAAAAAAAAAAAGTAATTTAATTTTTAAAAATTCTATCAATATATATGCAAGCAATGAATAATACAGTTACAAAGAAAGTGAAATGTAAGATCTGCAGGCATATTTTTAAAAGTATAAAGGTCTTGGCCAGGTGCGGTGGCTCACGCCTGTAATCCTAGCTCTCTGGGAGGCAGAGGCGGGCAGATTGCTCGAGGTCAGGAGTTCGAAACCAGCCTAAGCAAGAGCGAGACCCCATCTCTACTATAAATAGAAAGAAATTAATTGGCCAACTAATATATATATAAAATTATCTGGGCATGGTGGCACATGCCTGTAGTCCCAGCTACTCGGGAGGCTGAGGCAGCAGGATTGCTTGAGCCCAGGAGTTTGAGGTTGCTGTGAGCTAGGCTGATGCCACGGCACTCACTCTAGCCTGGGCAATAAGCGAGACTCTGTCTCAAAAAAAAAAAAAAAAAAAGTGAGACTTTGTCTCCAAAAAAAAAAGTATAAAGGTCTTATTTCCTCTTCATTTTACATCAAAACCTTCACATATTTTTGAAGGCATGCATTTGATTCCTTAAAAAAAAAAGAAAAAAGATTAAAGTAAATATTAATAAAAGGAAAAAAAAAACCCTTCACACAGGATGATTTCTAATTCAAAAAAATCACTAATTAGGGAGTACAACATGAATTAGTCTGAAAAATTATTTATATGCTCTTTTAATTCAAAAATTCTTACACTTACCAGTGATGTCTGATCCTCAAATGGTCTTGTAATATTTTTCCTAAGAACATTTAAAAAAAAAGGTGACCCAATTTTAATAATCTTGATAAGTAAATTCAATTAGGTAATATAATAAGTAAAAGATAATTTTATATTCAGATGATTAAAAAAAGCTGGAAGGATCTAGGGATACTACAATACTATGTCAAACAAGATGTTTCATGAAGCTTACATTCTAGTGGAAAAATAAAGAGTCTGCCCTCTGGATCTGTGGGTTCTGCATCCATGGATTCAACCAACCATGGATTGAGAATATTCAAAAAAAGTACCACTAAAAACTAATACAAATTTAAAATACAGTGTAACAACTATTTACATAGCATTTACATAGTATCAGGTATTATAAGTAATCTAGAGAGCATGTAAAGTACACAAGGAAAGTATGCATAGGTCACATGTAAATACTATACCATTTTCTATAAGAGACTTGAGTACCCTTGGGTTTTGGTATCCAAGGGTGGTCCTGCAACCAATGCTGAGGGGTTAATATAGTTGATTCCAGGGCTATGGCAAGGAAAAATACAATACAAACCTGAAACATCTTGTGGTGTCAGAAATGGAGTGCTAAATGCAAAGTTAGATATGGGACAAAAGAAAAAAAAAGAAAGAAAAAAGGAAGTGCTCAAAAACAAGGGCATGTTGAAACGGCACAAGAAGAGTTCCCAAGGTAGGACAATTTCAACAACAAAACGAACAATAATACTAAATTATAACCCAGAAAAATATAATAAGTATCCAAGATTCAATAGACTTAAGGAGTAAAAAAATTAATAAATACCCATAAGTCCACATAATTAAAACAAATGGAGAAGAAACAGATTTTCAGAATTCCAATTAATGTACATAGAAGGAATGAGGGACACAAAAGACCACCACTGGAGCACCACAGTAATCACCACTGTAAACAAGACCCACCAATAGATGCTAAAATTAATGAGCAAAAGACTGAGAAAAAAGCGGATATTTATGGACTTTGCATAGTCCCAAAGTATTCTCTCCAAATATGTATTAACTACAAAAGGGAAAACAGTAACTTTATAGTGGAAAAACCAAAGAGACACCACTTAAACCAAGGTTAACATCACCAATATGAGACACATTTACATTGTATGATCTCTTCATGTTACTGAGAAAAGGACATCATTTTTGTGGTGTTCTTGACAAAAATGTATAACTTCAATCTATTCATGAGAAAACTTAAACCCTGATTGAGTCATCATTTACAAAATAACTGGTAAGGCTGGGTGCAGTGGCTCACGCCTATAATCCTAGCACTCTAGGAGGCTGAGGCAGATGGATCGCTTGGGCTCAAGAGTTTGAGGTTGCCGTGAACTAGGCTGACACCAAGGCACTCTACTCAGGGCAACAGAGTAAGACTCTGTCTCAAAAAAAAAAATTAATTAAAAAAAATAAAAATAACTGGCAAGCATTAGTCAAAAGTGTCAAAGTCTCCGAAGACGAGGAAAGACTGAGGAACTGCACAAGTTCAAGAAGACTAAGGATACATGGGATACTAACACAACATGGGATTCTGGAAGAGAAAAAGGATACCAGGAGAAAAACTGGTGCCAACACCAAATAAGTCTGTAATTTAGTTAACACTATCATATATATGTTAATTTATTAGTTTTGTTAATTTTACTATGGTTATGCAAAATATAACACTAGGTGAAGGGTATATGGGAAATTTGTATTATTTCCGTTAACTTTTAAGTCTACAATTATTTCAAAATAAAATATATACAGTATGGTTAAACTATAAAAGAACATTCAATAAAAATTTAAAAAAAGACCAGAAATAAATCAATTATAATACTGATAGTGTATATAACGAATTATAGTGTCTTAAGAAATTTTTCATAACTTCCATAAAGTGGTTATTTCTATGATAGAACAAAATTATTTAAAATAAAGTAAAAGGGATTATGACTTACTTTTTATACAGAACGCCATACGGTTTCTTCAGGGCATACTGTAAAACATAATTTATACCTTTCAAAATAAAATACATTCTGAAAAGTAGAGATAAAAATGAAGCATTATAATAGTCATTCTACGAGATCACTCTGGTCCCTGAATCATGTTCTAATGTCTTCTGCTTGGCTCCCTTTTGATCACTTACAATAACCTATAATATAAGCTTAATATTCTAACTTAGACTGGATTTTCCTAATTAAAGGTTTCTATGCCCTTTCAACAGTCTAGCCAACTTAAATCAGTCCCTTCATTTCTTTAAACTCTACCTAGTCCATGGCTCTTATAAATTCCTGTTCTTCAACCCTCTTCATTTTTTCCTACTTCTTACCATCCATTCACTAATAATCACTTATTACTTGTATGGCCGGTACTGCTCTACCATACAGCAGTACCAAAAATCTAAGGCACTGCCTTGCATTAGAGAAGTGGGTGCATAAGGGAAACAATGAAAAATAAAGTGAAATGATCATTCATCAACTATCAGAGCTGGTAAGAAAGAATATTCACCAGTAAAATCTACCTTTTTATAAGTGCAAAAACTTTTGATGATTTTTGGCCAAATGTTTACCTGTCTCAGTGTAATGAACACTGCCATCTTTTCTGGACAACTCAAAGTTATCATTATGAATTGTAACTATTGTAATACTCAGTAAAACCATATTGCTTTTAAAGCTTACTTAAATATGTCGGGTCACTGTGTTGACGGATACTGGAAGGAAAGGGGCAACGTCCTATCAACACAATGACATTCAGACAAATTTCAAAAATGGGATGGGCACAGATAAGGTATTCAGATATAACTATGTTTATCAAGCACTGGGAGTTTAGTCAACATTAAAAATGTATTACATTGCTTAGTTGACTTAACTAAAGAATCTATCTGCTGTACTCAAGGTCTAAATATCCAACTACCTAGTAGGTATCTCCACATACTATGCCTTTCATTCACTAATAAAGCATTTATTGAGCACTTATAACATCCAGACACTGGGCTGGACACCAAGCTATAGAAGTACGAAAAACCTGAGTTTTTGCCTTTATTACTTAAATTACATATCCCAAATTGAACATCTCACCTTTCCCTCCATACCTGCTCCACCTGATATATTCTCTAATTAGCATTATTGCTGATAAGGCACTCAAGCCAGAAACCTGGGAAGTTGTACTTCTCTCTGCTTGCCAAACTCTTCTACCCTCAACATCTACTCTTTCTGAGCATCTCTCATTTTCACTGCTACCACTAGACTCCAGATGCTCTTTACCTGGCTGATAGCAATGGCTTTATTAGTCTCCTGCATTTGCTCTGAACCCTCTCTAATCAAGCCAATAAAAGAACTGATCACATCTCTCGCTTAAAATCATTCAATGACTACACAGAGTGTTTAGAATAAAACTCAAATGCCATGTTACTACATGATCCCTGCCTCTTCTTTTAGCCTCACCCAGCCCACTCTCTGTGGCCCTCCTCAATTATTTGCAATTCTCTAAATGCATCATGCACCTTCACACTCCCTTTTGCACATGCCTCTTTCTCAGTCTTGGAAGTCCTTCTCTTCCTCCTCCTCTTCTTGACCCAACCCCTCCTTCAAAATGAAGCTTAAGTGTTATTTCTGGGAAGCCCACTCTGTGTGTGGGTTCCCCTATATGGCATTTTCTAAATTTTTGAGACAGAGTCTCTCTCTGTTGCCTGGCCTAAAGTGCCTAGCTCACAGCAACCTCAAACTCCTGGGCTCAAGTGATCCTCCTGTCTCAGCCTCCTAAGTACCTGGGACTACAGGCATATACCACTACAATGGGCTAATTTTTTCTATTTTTAGTAGAGACAGGGCCTTGTTCTTGCTCAGGCTAGTCTCGAACTCCTGAGCTCAAGTGATCCTCCCACCTTGGCCTCCCAGAGTGCTAGGATTACAGGTGTGGGCCACCGTCCCCACCCCCTATGTGATATTAATACTGTTTCCCATCCTATCCTGTACATGCCTCCGACACAACACTTAATTCACAATGCTACAATTGTTTACATGTCCATCTCTATTACTAAACTCACTGAAGGGAGACTGTGCCTTATCTATTAATTCCCAGTACCTAACAGAGTAACAAGTAATGTCAAATGAATAAATATATAGCAGTATGTAGTCATTTCACTTTACAAATCAGATAGTTTCCTAAAATGTGAGTAAACCAAATTCTAGCAATTAAAAACAGTTTAGGCTGGGCGCATTGGCTCACGCCTGTAATCCTAGCACTCTGGGAGGCTGAGGCGGGAGGATTGCTCAAGGTCAGGAGTTCGAAACTAGCCTGAGCAAGAGGAAGACCCCATCTCTACTATAAATAGAAATTAATTGGCCAACTAAAAAAAAAAA